GATATATTCCACGACTGTCACACTAACAGCTGCATGAACCAAGGGACAAATCCACACCGTCCTCTGTGAGTGTGGTGGCTCCCAGGCAGTGGAACGGATGCAGATCTGCTGTACAAGCAATGGAGACTGGCTGCTGGGGCCACACACAGCGACTGTGTAACTATTCCAAGTGAGCTGTCTGTGCTAAAGCATGCAGGAGTGGGACTGAGTGCGGTCTGGGGATTCCCCACTACATAAAGGTCACTCGAGGCACTGCAATCTACAGCAAAGGTCCATATTTATATGACAGGTCTTATGCATACAAGTAGTTCCATCATTTACATGAATTACTTGCATGAGTAAAGATTTCTCACAAGTAAGGATTTACAGGCCCAAAGATAAATCACAGTACTCTGCCTAAAAGACTACAACCTACACTAAACAAGACAAACACACAAGAGATGATACAGGGTAAAGCTTCATGCATTGCAGACAACAGACATCACATTCCAATGCACAAAGGCACAACAATCCAAGAGAAGGGTGTATGGATCCAAACATCACCCTGCTGAGTTTTACAACCCAGGCATGCATTTTGCTAACATGGGAGAAGCAGGCAGTGAAGTAATTAGACACTGTACACAAAATGAAACTGCCTAGTCTCGTTTTGTTGTTCAAGGTCAATGAAGTGCAAAAAGTAAATAATTTACACAAATGGTGGACAGTAAAGTGGATCAGTGCAAATGCTATTGGTTTTAATAATCTATAGTGGTTTTGTTAGGAAATTGTGTTGCTACTGAATGCTTAGGCAGCCTGGCCTTGGAAACATCACTCTCTTGCTTGTTTTCACTTTACTCACCTGGTGTAATAATAGTAATAGTAATAATACCTAGTCTTGCGTAGCACTTTTTATCAGCAGATGTCAAAGTGCTTTACAGAGGGAGGTAAATATTATTATCCTCATTTTACACATGGGGAAACTGAGGCACACGGGGGGGCAGATCCTCAATAGTATTCAGACACCATTTCCATTGAAATCTTTCTTTGGGCCTGAAGCCCCTAAGGCTGTGGGCTGAAGCCAGTGGCAGAGCTGGGTGGGGAACGCAGGTCTCCTGAGCCTCGGCCCAGTGCACTATCGCTAGGTCCTGCTGCCCCATCTGGGGGCAGGTGATACCGACCCGCCTCCAGCCCCGCCGGGAGGATCAATGAGCTGATGTCTGCGCAGCGCTTCTAACACACTAGGGGTTATTTATACCGGGCAGTGGCCTCTTGAGCGCAATAAACCTGCTGTAAATTGCGGGCGAGACACCGACGTGCCCGGAGCGGCCACTCCGCCCCCTAGAAGCACCGGGCGCTAGGACCCAGCCGCAGCCGGGCGGGGACAGCCTGCGGACAGCCCGCCTGGCCCTCTGAGGGCGCTCGCGTGCGCGGGGCTCGCCCTGCACCTCTCCGCCGGCCGTGCGAGGCCGCTCCTCAGCGCGGCGCCGGCAGACGTACTGCGCATGCTCAGTACCCCCTAAGTAGCACATTACTCGGGAGAGCGCTCAGTCCGTGTCAGCTCCCGCCGCAGCCATGGCCCTGCTGCAGCCAGCCCGGCGCCTGCTCTCCGCCGCGGCCCAGCGCCACCTCTGCCTGGCCCCCGTCGCGGCCAGAGCCAGGTAACGGGGCCCGGAGCGGACAGGCCGGCGCGGTTGGGGGCCCGTCTCGGACCCTGCAGCTCGTGAATGTGAATCCCCCGAGGCGGGCAGGGCCGCGCGCCTGGTTTGGGAGGCGCGGGGGGGGTCTGCTCTCAGCAGGGTGCTGGGGTGCAGCCCGGCCGGTCCCCGTGAAGTGTTCTCCCTCCCCCCCCCATGAGTGCTTCGCGTTACGCGGGAGTGTGTCCCTCGGCGCGGCCCGTCTCGGACGGAGCTGGCCATGCCGGGGATGACCGAGTCGGAAAGGGCATCTGGGATTGGCTGAGGTGGCGCGGGCGCGGTGCTAGTCCGCGGCAGTGATTGGCTGCCGCTGCTTGCGCGCGTGCCCTTGAGGGGCAGCTTTAGAGGGCGGAGGAGCCGCGGTTCCCCCCCTCCACTTCCGGGCTCGTTGCCCGGCGGCCCATGCCCCGGGGGCGGGGGGACCCCGGCCCGGCCCCCCGGCACAGACACCCCCGCGTGCAGTGAGTGCGGGGCCGGGAGCCCCCTAGTGTGGGTGCCGCTGGCTACACCGGCAGGATGGGCCCCGGGCGCTGCCTCCCAGCGCTGCCTCCTCTGCCCCTGAGCCCGGCGCTTTGATCGTCTCCTCCCCTTTCGATGGGGTCACCCTGGCAGCGCCTAACGGCGGCGCTTCAAGCGTGTTAGAATCGGGCCCGGAGCCTGCCTGGTGTGGCAGCGCATCTGCCTGGTGAATGTTAAAATAGCCACTCAGATGGGAGGAGAGATTATGAAACTTACTGTGTGCAAAGTTTTCAGAGTAGCAGCCGTGTTAGTCTGTATCCGCAAAAAGAAGAACAGGAGGACTTGTGGCACCTTAGAGACTAACAAATTTATTAGAGCATAAGCTTTCGTGGACTATAGCCCACTTCTTCGGATGCATGTGTGCAAAGTGTTATCAGCTGTACAGAGCACAGGCACTGGGGGTGAATGGGATTATTTTTGTGTCTCAGCACAGTTACAGTGACTTTTAGGTGTTACCTGTAACAAGAATAGAGGGAAGTTCAGACAGAAGTAGGGTGACCATATTTCCCTATGGGGAATATGGGACACCTGGTAAAATTACTTGTATTCAAGTGAGTTCAACAGCAATCAATCAGAGCTATGCTGTACACACATTCAAATTAACACCAAGTTGACTGAGCCCCTGTTAAAAAGAAATACTGCATAGTTGTATTTTTATTTACGTTCTTATCTTTAAGGCTTTAGGGTTCACATGGAGACACACACACACATCCCTATGTGACACACACACTCCCATACACCTCTGTCACCCAGAGGGGGTGACTGACCTACCCAACACTCTCTGCCCTCCATGCCTGGCTGGGCCCTGGGGATGGACCTGCCGCTCCTGCTACCTGGCACCTTGTCTTCCTGAGGCAATGTGAGTGTGTGTGTGTGTGTGTGGGGGTCACACAGTGTCACATGCCTTCCCCCCCCCCAGATTTCTGCCAAGGTTCACACCAGACTGTGGCCAGCAGCATCCTAGCAGCACTATGCAGAGCTGGATGGGATGGGAGCTGCTTCCAGCTGCGCTTGGGGGGCGGGGAAAGGATGACCTGGCCTGTGTCTTTACAGAGCTCATTTCTTTCCTCCTGCCCCTTCCCCTCTTTTCTCCTCCTCCCTC